AGCTGCTCAAAACTCACCTGGCACGCAAGGCTGACGCCTTTTAATACATTTTTTTTGCCATTTAAAGAGTTTGCAAACGATTTACGGTTTGCTTTATGCCACACATTATCCGCACTTGTTTTACAGTCCTCAATGTTACAATGGTTCATTTAGTGACCGTATGAAGTTACAAAGACTTTGCAGCATCTCCATGGTCACGTGATCAAAATTCAGGCGCTGGATTTGTATTTATGACAGTCTCAGTGTCCCGGGGTCACAAGATCCCCTTTTGCGACCAAGCAATGGGGAAGGACAGATTCACTTAACCACCTTATCACTCACTTAACAATTGCAAGGATTCATTTAACAACCGTGGCAAAAAAAGGTTGTAAAATCAGGCAAATTTCACTGAGCAAATGTCTCGCTTCGCCACAGAAATTCTGGGCTCCGTTGGAGCAATTGTAGGAGTAATTGTATCAGGAGCGTTGTTAGAGGAAATATCTATTTTTTTATACAGATAAATAAGCTCTAACTACCGTTTCTCCATTTTTGGCAACTGGAAAATGAGTGGACTTCAACTCCCAGAATCCCCCAGCCATCCATCCTGGCTGGGGGATCCTGGGAATTGACGTCCACTGATCTTCCAGTTGCCAAAAATGGAGAAACAGTGATTTACAGTTTATTTATCTTTACAAAAACTGTGTTATTTCCATTCTGTCAAGTCTATGCGCGGCCAGTTATGAAACTCAGCAAATTCTTACTGCAAGAAGCTTTAGATTTTTAGATTGGTCTCTGGGGAGAGAAAACACGGTTGGAGTAACAGAAAGAAAAATTAAAGAGTTGCATCAGTTATACGACTCTGGCCTTTGCTACCTAAGAGGTTGTGTCAAAAATTGGACGGGGAAGTGAGTCTTGCAAGGAATTGACGCAACCCAGATTTTTGGCACATAGCTCGGCACAAAAATTATGTAGAAGGGTGCAAATCAGCCAGGATTTGAAAAACAGACCACCATCTAACTTAGAATAAAGATTTGCCTCGTTCTTTGGAGATTTGCCTCATTCTTTGGAAAAGAATATGGAATCTAGGTATCCTCGTCTTACGTCCACAATTGAAGCCAATATTTTCGCTGTTAAGTGAGTTCCCTCCCCCTTCATATTACGGCCTTTCTTGCCACCAAATCACTGCAGCTGTTAAGTTGGTGACGATTGTTAAATGAATCTTGCCCCCACCCCCCCATGGACGTTGCTTGTCAGGTGGTCGCAAAAGGGGATCACGCGACCCCTGGGTACACTGCAACAGTCACAAGTACATGCCAGTTTCCAAGTGTCCCAATTTTGATCAGAGGTAGAAGAACCGTACAACGGCTGCATGGAAAATGCTACTTAAGTCCGTTTTTAAAGCACCTTCGTAACTTTTGAACGATCACCAAGTGGATGGTTTTAAGTCAAGGACTACTTGGAAACGCACGAAATAATTTACACGAGATGTGAGTGAGGATGGCACATCCTTTCGTAGGAGCATCAAGGATTTCTCCGAGGCAGGAGGTTGTGTAAAAAGACGCCACTCGCAATTTTAAGTTAGCCATTCGTTTTATTATCGGGGGAAAATAACAACATGTTACAGCCAAATCAGTTAACAAGGATACCTACCCGTCACCTGGCTGCCTCCCCCCCACCTAAATTTCCAAAGGGTGGGCGAGGACAGGGGGCTTAAAATATTGTGATGGGTGAACCAATTCCAGCCTTTTCCTAGGGCACTGGCTCAGTTTTTATTCCCTTGCGCATCCGAAATCTGAATAAATCAGGGGTCTCTGACTCTGGCCCCTTTAATTCTGGGAGAATTCTGGGAGTTGAAGTCCACAAGTCTTAAAGTGGCCAAGGTTGGAGACCTCTGGCATAAATAGCACCCAATAAATTAAAGCACCCCGTTTAAGAAAATAAATAAATAAGTCCAGACACAATTGGGGTTAAAAAAAAACAAACATAAAAAGGCAACATAAAAAGGCAGAAAGTAAACAGTATTTTTGTTAAAAAAAACAAAAACAAAAAACCAGAAAGTGCAACATGCTGCACAGGGTTAATTTCCCCTTGCGTGCAAATCCTTTGTAAACTAAGTCTGGGAGGAGTAAACCAGGAGCATATTGGCAACTACGATTAAGGAAGACCAGATCAAATCAACGGCAGTTAAGCTAAATCGGAACTGCGGGTATTTCTCGGCTTACGACCACAATTGAGCCCAAACTTTCCGTGGCTAAGCAGGACAGTTGTTGAGTGAGTTTTGCCTCATTTTACGACCTTTCTCACCGCAGTTGTTCAGTTAGTAACGCAGTTCTTAAGCGAATCTGGGCTTCCTCACAGACTTTGCTCGCAAAAGGAGATCACGTGTCCCTCGGGAACTGCGACCGTCGTAAACGGGAGCCGGTTGCCAAGCAGCCAGGGTGATCATAGGGATGGCTGCAAAGGTTCTGAGTGTGAAAAACAGTCCAAAGTCCCTTTTTTCCAGCACCGTTGTAATTTTGAATGGCCACTAAGTGAATGGTTGTAAGTCAAGGACTACCTGCGACCTTTACCAGCAGTTTCTGCGGGTAGATCTGAGCAGAGCTAAGTTTGAATCCGTTAATTCACATGAAAGGGAATTTGCAACCCACCCAGAGTTGCGGCACAATTTGTGGCTCTTAACACACCCAAAACAGAAACAGCTGTGAAATACACACACCAAGCAACTGAGATTTTGTGCGTACGTAAAAATCTAATCAATCAAGAATTTGAGAAACGTAATTTAAACCTGAAGAGAAAAAAAAAAATCACGTTATAGTTTTGATTGGAAATTACTGTCACTGTCTGCGAAACGTTGACTGTAAGGGTGGCAGTTTTAGCCTGACTTAAATCTCTAATTAACGGCTCACAATTAGCAATAAAATAAAATTGGAATATAATGACGTTTAGTAAACAAATTCACCTTAATCACCAAATATTTCTTTCCTCTCGACTGATTGAAAGAAAATGGAGCTTCAGAAAAGGCAAGAGTTTTGCACATGTCGTCCTCACTCATTCAGTGACCGTTCAAAGTGGTGACGGTGGTAAAGCTTTGCAACCAATCCTCACACTTACGACCAGCAGCACCCTGCAATTACAGGATTGTCATGCGTGTGATTCGCCCAAGTGGCCCTAATGAAAAAGGCGGAAGAAAGATTGTTGTGACATTTTGTTTTAATGACTGAAAGGGAAGGGAGGCGATCCGCCCGATCACAGTCACGTGATGTTCTCCTTAGCGACCGAGCTGCCAGACCAGATTGTGGCCATTAAGCGAGGACTACCTGAAGGAATGCCATGCATGACTACCTGAAGGAAAGGCTGGGCTCAGCCACGCACAGTGACAACCCACCATTACCTGCCTTTTAATCATCATTTGGATTTTCTGCAGAGCAGATTTGGTAGACTACTAGATAGTCCTCAAGTTATGACCACCAGCTTTTTCACTGCTAACCAAAGCGGTTGCTGAGTGATTTCACCACCTTTTTCCACGGTTGCTAAGTGAAGCCCTGATGTCCACTTAATGACCGTTCTGTGGTCGTTAAGCGAATCCGGCTTCCCCCATTGACTTGGTTTGTCGGAATGGCCAGCTGGGAAGGTTGCACAATGACGATCGCTTGACCCCAGGGTTGCCGCAACCTTCGTGAATTCACACCGGTTGACCGAGTGCCTGAATTAAAATCACAGGGGATGCTGCGACGGTCGTAAGTGTGAGGAATAGTTGTTATGTCGCTTTTTTTACTGCTATTGTAACTTTAAACAGCCGCTAAGCAAATGGTTATACGTTGAAAACTACTTGTATGTCCAACTCAGTGACTTTGATGAGTGGACTTCAACTCCCAGAATTCCAAGGCAACATGGCTGGCTGGGGGATTCTGGGAGTTGGAGTCCTCCCCTCTTAAAGCCACTGAGCTTGAGAAATAGCAGAAGCTCTTATTAAAATTTCTGTCTGCGTTAAAACCAATGCACCTTACAGGCCGAAAGTAAAGCCAACTTCCCTTTCAATTCTACCCGAATTCAAATCCTGCTACTCAAAAGAAATCTCTTTTTTTTTTCCTCAGCTAGGACCCCCAAATGTTGCTTCTGGGTTCCGATCTGGAGAACCGTCCATCCAAACCTGCCAAATCAATTCGTTTCATTTCTGACAGGCACTACGACCGCACAAAATTCCATCCAGGGTGTTAAAAATGCCCCTGGAAATCTCCATCCCCAAATGTCCTTCTCTGTTCTGTGTGTTAACATGGCCTATGTACAATATTGGTATTTACTTATTTTTCTCCGCCAGGATGACGAAGCCTGCAAAATGGCGTTTGGACTACATAGACAAGACTGGATGAAGAGTCATTCCCTTTCGTGTTATATTCAACAGTTAAAGTGCGCAGAGCAATCCAAGGGCTGCTCAGAAATGGCGAGAATCCCCATTTCGCCCATGTCTTTTTTTTTCTAGGTTCCTAGCAAAAACCAGGAGGTTTGGTCAACTGGCTTGGCTATTTTTAAAAAACGAAATATTCATGCTGATAAGTGGGTGGATGCAGGCAGCCCAGCCACGCCCGCCAGTTCGGATTGCTAAGTAGTTTTCCTCCAGGTTTACGGGGCCAGGTAAGCCTATATAAGAGGTTTTAAAGAAACCACAATCTTGAAGACGTCCCAGGGGATGACTAGACGGAAGCTGGGATCAACCCAGCCCAGAAACGCATCGGCTCACTTATGGGTGTCTTTCTAAAATGCCTGCTTGTTCCGTGTGCTCACTTTGACACGATGGCTTATCTTGAAAAAAGGTCCTCGTAGGGTGAAGGCCAATCCAGACATTAAAAAAAGAAAGGAAGAAAGAAACCCAGGCCGGAAGGGACCCTGGAGATCTTCTACTCCAACCCCCCTGCTCAAAGAAGGAGGTCTTACACACCATCCTGTCCAAATGGTCATCCAGCCTGGTTTTGAAAACCTCCACCACCCCAGGAGGCAAGGTCATTATTCCCTGAAGACCCAAAGGTGCTGTCGAAGTGATGAAGAGGAATGCCGGGGCACCCGAAAGGTGAATTTCAAAACGGACATTTTGCAAATCGCATCGTCCCGTTTCCATGCGCTGTCCGAGGTTCTCGCGGCTGCGTGGATAATTTCGGGGGGGCGGCGGGCCTCACCGAAAGGCGTGGTGGGGTGGGACCCCCCATGATGCGTTGTTCTCGGATCAGCTGGAGAATAACCAAAAGGAGGTCGTTTCGATTGGCAACTTTACCTTCTCACTCGTCGCAACCCGAAAGGTACTTCGCGACTTACGTTCAAGAACTTGAGTCCCTTTCGCCATTTAAACAAAACTCCGCTTAATAAAAATGCCCCAATCGGGAGCACCTTCCTCTTTTGTGAATTATTATCATTATTATTTTTGCTTTGTCACTCAATCTGACCCCGGCCAAGGTAAAGGATGAACGGGAACCTCTGCTTCACAGGGGCCCAAATCCTCTTGCTTGGGGGGGGGGGGGGTTTCCTAGGTGAGTTTCCGGATTCTGCGGTTCTGCCGGTCAATGTTCATGGTGGCCCGATCCACGGAGGACGTGATGACATCCAGGCTTTCGTCCTGTCGCTCCAGCTCCGTCTCTGTCTCCAAGGCCAGGCATTTGAGCCTCCGGAGGATCTGGAAAGAGAAGAGAGGCAGGGGGGGGGTTGCAAGCTGGAGTCAAGGGAACCTTGGCCCTCCTCCTCGTTTTCTGGCTGGCTGTCGGGGATACGGCCCGGAAGAATCTTGTATGGTACAGGCCGTCCTCGACTTACCACCGGTATCGGGACAGGAGGTTTGGTCGTGGAAGCAAGGCAGCCATGGAACCGGAGTCGGGAGCAAGAGGAAGAGGAAGAGAGAATCAAATTGGCTTCCCCAATTCCAGCTCAGCCCTGGAGAGCCGGGAGACGCTTGAAAGCATAGGTGGGACTGTGAGTTTAACCCCAACTTGTTTGGCCGGAAGGAAGGGCAAGATTGAGGGTGGAACGGGAGGAGGAGGAGGAGGAGGAGGAGGAGGAGGAGG